TATTGCTGGGTAGAATTTGATGAGGATGATGATTATGGGTCGATGTTGATGTGGTCCGGGAGTGGTTGCTAGATAATACCCCTCGTACAAAAGCTCTTGGGATATATGCTGGGTGTGTTGGCATGGCGCTTGAGGCTCCTCCTCCGTCACTGACGCTTAATGGAGAGAAAGGATATGTTGGTTTGTCTGGAGAGTATGTGTATGATGAACCGTCGTGGTCTTTTTGTTGAGAGTCCATCTTGTAGTCCATTGTGTAGGAAACAGAGTTTGGCATCATCCCTGTGGTTGGTTGAAACGTATGATCGAGGCCGTAACGAGCTTGGTAAAAGTTGTCTTGCCTGTCAAACCTGCGATCCCGTCTCCAGTAGAGGAAGAAGAGGATGGCCGCGACCACGAATAAAGCAACGGTGCCGCATGCTATGCCGGCGATTGCACCAGACGAAAGGCTCGCGTTGCTGGACTCGTCACCATCCCGTTTGTGAAGGATACGTGACGCCATGTTCAAAGGCTGGTATATCTGACAAACATCTGGGCTCGGCCGTGAAGGTCAAAAGTTCAACGAAGCCAAACTCCACAATCCTTCGGCCGAACGGTTTCTATAATAGAAACCCGGGATATGGGAGGGAGAAACCCGGGGGGGGCCGTTTTGCTCCAAATACATATAGATGTGGCACAGGATGAGGGGGGAACGAAAAGAAAGGCAGCCACCAGGCTCACACGGGGAATTAGTGGCGTACTGTGTATATGCACGAAGTTGGGTCTTTTCGCTCGCCACCGCCGACTGGTTGCACAATAATCACGCAGTTGGGTTTTAATAGGACCCCAACAAGTCTGTGCATGTGCAATCTGTGCTGGTCAAACCTCGAATCAAAACACCGAATATGGAAAGGCTCTTCGTTTGGGGTAAACAACGAGGACGCTATCACGTCGATCTTTCTTGTCTCTTCCAAGACATGCATACGTAGCTTTTATAAAGTGACAGCTTCTGACCTCGAACTATCATGAATGAGTGATAGGGAAATCCTTCCCAGGAACCGGCCCGGAATCCGCACTGGGCCATCGGCAGCCTCGACGACATTCTCGCCCGTTGAAATTCGGGCGACCTTGCAGAATGGATGGTGAGCCTGCCATTGTGGGAGGGTAACCTGCAGCCCAATCACATCTCAAGAAGAGCCAAGCATTCGACAAGAGATGTAAGGGTCTGTCAGCCCGGAATGGTCGATCCCACCCTTCTCGAGATGACCGAGCCAATGGCAGCGTGCAGTGGTTTCGTTTCACGGGCGCTTAGCCGCTGCTGAGGGCAAGACGGATAGTCCCGGACAGGTATGAGTGGTCAGACAGGCGAAGCTACTCATTCTGAGAGGGAGGTGGAGGAGATCTACCGAAGGATTTCTTGGGTAGGCTGAAGGACCCCAAGACCGAATGCATTGGCAACGGTATCCAATTGGAGAACCAGAATGTTGAAAGGTCAGGTAATCTCCCCATGTCTTTTTGATCTGATTGGTTTCCGATATTGTGGAAAGCATGAAGGAGGCGAAATATGTTGCGCGAGGCTCTCTCAATTCTTTCTCCACCTCTCAAGATTGTTGATGGAAAGATGAGTCCCGTGCTCTCGTTGGCAAGGATCCAAATTGAAAAAGAAGAACAAACCTTATCGTGCCTTACAGGTGGGGGCAGGCAGTCCGTGCCTTTCGCTCCCGCATCTTGATGAGCTTGGTCTCCTCTTGGCAATCCATTCCTTCTTTCGCTTCCAACTTGAACAGAACCAACAGCATCAACCGGCAAATGACGTGGGATGCGATATCACCACTCTTTCTGTTTACGAACTCGGAAGAAAGAGAATGAGACTGCTCACTTGACGAACTTTTGGACGGATTCCCCCATCCACATGATCAAACAGTTGGTCGTCATCAGATTCAAGTTAAAATTCGGGATGCAAATGCAGGAATATCAAGCGAAAAAACAAGACACGCAAGTAGGGTAACGCCCAGCGCTTGGAACCACTGTGCCGGGTTTGTGCTTTCACCAATCTGTGCCTGGATGATTGACGGAACAGAATTGCCGCTCGGTAAGCAACGGGGTCCTTCAATGCCCTGCCTGCTCAGCTCTGGCTGTCCCTTTTCGGCTCCCACTCCATGTGTTTGCTTGAACAGGAAACTCGACTCTATGATTCAGCCCCCAACGGCCAGAAAGACCAGAAGCAATGCCCTTCCTCCCTAGGTATATACATGTCATAGTTGAAATGAGACAAGTTTTCTAAATGACAGTGACTCGCTCTCTCGGACCCGTCCCAAATGGTTCGGGGATATCACTGTTCTCTATGGGCTCTGTGTCCATGAAAAGTCCCACCCGAACAAAATACCCGGTTATCTGAGATGCATGAAGTATCCTTGTCCAACTGAACGCCTCATGCATTTTACCGACCCAGCTCCAGGAGGGAGCAATATAGCTACCCCCGGGATTTTCCAAAAGCTCTCCCAAATTCAGTGGCATCTCGGCTGCTTGAAGTGACTTCCACGCCAGTCCTCGGTGCAAGTCTGACTCCCAAATCCCAGCCAGATACCGGTCTCCCAATTTGTTGGCGAAAAACTTTGCTGCGCCAGACAAAGCGGGGAGTACGTCCTGTGCAAAGGTAAACCACCTATCCGAGTAAAACGCTGCCAATTCCTTCCAGTACTGATATAATGAATCGAATCTGGAGCTTTGATTGCCAGCGGGTGATGGCAGGAAAGCTTCCGCGTTGTGAAGATCGATGAAGCGATACTCATCCACCTCAAGAAGTTGGGTCTTGGTGAGCCCTTTACAAGAGTACTGTCTAGATGATGGACAAGCCACCAGAACATATGGAAGGTTAATCATAATCATCCGTCTAGACGAAAAGGACTCAATAAAGGTCCAGCCCCGAGAGTTCCAGCGATTATCTGGGCAAGCTTCATCCCACGTAGCCCATCCCAACTGAATTGTGAGATTGCTGATACTTGATTTCATATATTTAAGGCTATAGCTCTGAGGGATAGCTGGGTTGGTTGTCGGCGGAGCAATCCCCTGAATTTGTGGTCTGTGAGGAGGCTCAATGAAGCTGATATCTGAGGATGGCGTCAACGAACAGATGGTTACATAAGCGGAGGCGTGAATATCGACAAGTGAAGATGACTCCATAACCCAGTCAGAGTGTGCATCCTGGAGAATACACGAGGCGTCAATCCAAATGTAAGATATCGAGAGTTGTTTTGTGAGAAGAATGGCGTCCTGCAATACTCTAGGTATATCAGAGATCTGAAAGCCTTCGTATCTTTTGTTGTCCATGTTTTCTGATGTCGTCAAGAAATTAGGCGGTGATTTCGACGAGCGACCCCAACAGTAGCTTAGCGCAGTGTATTTTGGAAGCTCTGTATCGGAGTAAATTTGCCGTCGAATATATGCTGAATGGACAAGACGAAGCGTTGTGAGTGACTCGTCGCGAAGATCTACAAGCAGAGTTGGAAGAAACGAAGAGTCTTTGACTCCAGCGCAAAAGGGTCCATGATCACCAAGATAGTTGTCATAGTCCGAAAGAAACAACTTGGTCCAGTCCACGGTATCTTGAGGCACCAGACGTGGAACTGATTCAGCGACTGCCTCCGTGTTCTCCAATGATATAGGGCACGTGGGGCTCTCGTCGCATATGTCTGCTAGAATACGGAATGTCAGATGTCCATACTTTGCGTTTGCTTCCATGATGAGACACTCACAGACAGATAGTTGTATGCTGCATTTGATATTGAAGCACAGAGGGCGGCGCGGTGGGTTTGGATGAACAACCGTGATGTGAAATAATACACTGTCTACTCCATCAAAGCCGCGCAATGGAGAGTTTGCGCACTTGTAAAAGGCGACGATGGTAAATTTGACGACTGTGGCATGCTCGAAGCCTCTGAAAAGGTCATCCAAGGCGGTGAAAGCTTGACGGAACAGATACAGGCTATAAGAAACTCGCAGTAGAGGCATCCTTTCTCTGAGGCCGCGGTCAACTTTAGGAGATGAGGGAATGAATCGAATAGCAAGCTGTCGTCAGTCTCACCATGAAATGGATGATGAGTCTCATCACATGATGAGTTATCGTCGTCGTCATCAGTTGAGTTTCTCCCGCGCGCGAGAATCCAACGTTTCAACTGTAGAGGTCGGCATAAATCGCATATTGTACGCCGGTGCGGATGAACAGTGATCGATTCCATCGTCGCTCTTTGGTGTGTGTTGTTTAAACAAAGCTGAAGAAAGATTGCAAATGGGGACGGGAGCCTAGAGGGTGAGTGGGGGAAGGAGAAAGGTTGCACCTGCCCATTCAACCTCTCTCTCTCTCTGGTAATTGCCCATACGAAATCAGCGGTGGAAGGAGGAGGAGGAGGAGGAGGAGGAGGAGGAGGAGGAGGAAGGGGTGTTCGTCCCTCAACCACAGCGAAACCCGACTACTTCCCCGACTTGACTGGGTGATGGAGGCAAAGGAGCGAGAAAAAGAGAAAAAAGAAGAGTGAAAACCCTAAAATGGCAAGTGTGGAAAAGAAACAGGAAGAAGAATATAAACCAAAAAAGACTCCATCCATTACTCTATATATATATATATATTTTTTTTATAAAAAAAAGCAAAAGCAAATAAAAATCAATTTACAAAAACGAATAATCAGAAACCTTCTTGAACTTCCTCTGTCCCATTTTCCTTGAATTTTATCCCACTCGATTATTACGTTCTATACTTAGCCTCTATCTTTCTTTCTGCTTTGCAACTCCCCTCAGCACACACCCTTGACCAATACAATTTTCTCAACCATTTCACCTTCTACTTTTATTCTTAAAAGAGAAAGTTTGTTTTTTCAAAAAAAAAAAATACATAAAAGAAAAGGTGTGTAGAATAGGTCCTCCTTGTATTTTGCAATTCCAGAGATAGTCAATTGTAGTGCTGTTGTCTACAACCCCAAATCCCAATAAAACCTCAAATCTGGGTTTATCAAAATATCAATCCCAATGGCTCAATGGTCTAGTGGTATGATTCGTGCTTCGGGAATTGCTTCCCACAATCCTGTAAAAAAGGATTGGAAAATGTGCGAGGTCTCGGGTTCGATCCCCGATTGAGCCCATTTTTTTTCTTATGTCTTACATTCCGGTTTTTTTTTTGTTGGTTGGTCCGTCTAAGACATGACCTGTTGAAAGCAAAGCAAGGCGACCATAAACAAGAAAACAAATATACAATACTCCCCCCCTTGAACGTTTATTAGCGCGATATTTATGCCTCTCTAATAATCAACATGCCTTTTTGAAATGGTAAACGCCTGTTTATTTTAAAATAGGCCTGATTGATAAATAAAAGGCATTTTATCAATAGAAAGGACTTCTAAAAACGAATAGGCGTTTTGTAAGATCAAAAAGGCATGTTGATTATTAGAGAGGCATAAGTATCGCGCTAATAAACGTTCAAGGGGGATTATTGTATATGAATAAAACAGTTATGTGTATATTATAGAGAATACATTTCTTTTTTAATTTCCAAAAAAGTAATAATGCGCAAACAATCTAGTGTTATGCAAAAGAAATACGACGAAAAGAAAATCCTCAAAGGCCACCAGCAGCACAAACGCACACATACACACACACACACACAGTCAAACTCCTACCACGCAGAAATAGACCTATGCGTCTTCTCATCATCCAACCTTATTCCAAGTCCTTGCAATCCACTATTCCATACAACATCAGGACTATCCTCCTTTTCCTCAACTCCGTCCTCATCATCTTCCCGTCCCAAAAGAGGCGAAGACCAAATATTGGGACTAGGCAATATCCCTCCTTTAACCATATATTCATTTTCTTCTTCTTCATATTCATCTTCCTCATCCTTCCCATCCTCTTCATACGTACCAGCCCAAATACTAGGACTAGCTCCAATCCTAATCATCTCACCTCCTACTCTTCCCTCTTTCACATTATCCACTCCTCCCCTTCTCAACCCCACTACAACAGTTCGAGGACTTATTCCCTCTTCCCCTTCTTCCTCCTCTTCGTCATCATCATCTAGATACCCACCCCACGATCCAGACGCAAATAACGTCTTTCCCCCCCCTCCTAGCGTAGGAGACTCCTCATCCCGTGGCCTCCAGATCTGACTTCCCCTTTTAAACATGCTTGTACCGCATTTATTCGGCGACGGCTCCTCGACTAACCACTCGGCAAAGAAATCCTTTTCTTGTACTTGTACAGGGGATGAACTGCCGAAACTCCAGGGAGAGATGTCGCCTGATTGGGGAGGCCAGTTGCTGGTGGCACCCGGTTCGGTTGGTGTGTAAGTGGGTGTCAAGGCTGAAACTGGAATCGCAGAGATTATTGTCGTGTTGGGTCTGAATTTGGTGTCTTGGGAGGAAAACGGTGGGGTGTCGAGTGTTGAGTAGAGATCGGCGGGTGATATCTGGATCGGCGGCGGTTTCAAAGAAAATGGGGCGATGATTTTGGGGTCGGTAAGGATAGACAGTTTTGGGCGGGATTTTGTTGGCGATGGTAGTGATACGGGTGCAGAAGAGGGTACTGTTGACTCCAGTTGTTCTTGTGGCTTATCCTTGGGCGATTGCGAAGAAGTAGGTGGCGGCGACTCTGCGGATCCAGGATCCTCAGGGTTGCCTTCTCGGTTCCATGATTCCTCTTCGTCTTCTTCCGTGTTTTGTGAAGATTCGTTTGATGAAGGGGAAGGCTCGTCGTCTTCTTGAGCGGGAGAGCTGACGAGTTTGGCGAATGCTGGTTTATCGGTGTCGACGACCAGCAAATTCTCCTCACCGCGGCCAAGAATACCATAGACATTTACCTCGCCATTCTGGATGCCAACTACCGTGCTGGTGCCTGCGTAAAGTACTTCATCCTCGGTACCGCAGCGATTGGCAAAGACCACAATAATCTCTTCAGTGCTGTCGTCGTCGGTCCTCATGACTGGCTCTAATCGGCGAACCCAGTATTGGAGAGTTTCGAGGTCTGGTCTTTTCGGGATTGATGCGAAGAGTTCTCGGTCGGCAAAGGTCAACCATGCCATCGATACAATTGCGAGGTTGGCGCGAATCTTCCTGACGTGGCATCCAAATTCGAAGGCATCCCAAGGGGCTTCAAACTTGTATGGATTGATATCCATACATATTCCCATGGCCACTTTTCCAAGGCCATCCAACTTCCCCTGGTAGAACCCGTTGCCTTCGAGAGCCCATGTTTCGTCAGTGTAATAAAGAAAGCTCTTTCGGTAGTTGGCGGCCACTTTGCCGTCTTTTCCAATGAAAACAAGTGAGTTGTAGTTTTTTGAGACTTCTTGACCGTCTTGCTTTTCTCTGACAACTTCAGGGTAGCCCACACCAACGACACAGTTGTACTTGCGAGCCATTGTGCGAGCCCAGTCTGCACTTATGCCAGATGCCGCAGGTTCCAAATACGGCATGATTTCCTGTAAAGACTTGAAGTTGTATCCTTGTTTGCACGTTAGACAAAGTGTTTAAGTATGGTTATATGTGACTTACCACTGAAAGCCATTTCAGGCAAGACAAGCAGATCCAAGTCTTGAAGATCTCCCGGGTGGGCTTCTGATATTATTTGATCGGCACGAGATATGTTGTTGGAGACATGACCCACTTGGGGTGCGAATTGGAGGCAGGCGATCCTCATGGTGAGTCTTTATATATACAGGTAGATAAAACAAGTTTGATGTTCTTTTGATGATTGGGTATGACAAAGATAGAACAAATAACCGCCCTGACCACCACCACCACCAGCAGCTGACAAGGCTGAATGACAAGAAGAAAAAAGAGAGGAAACACACTAAAACAGAGGAGCTTGCATGAAGGAAGGGTGTTTCGAAAAAGGCTATCCAAAAAAGAATTATCCAAGGGGTGAGTGGAGGGGTGTCCTTTTTCGAGTAACACACCTTTTGGGGGATTCCGGTGGTGGGGGATAAAAATATCTTTTGGGTTCCTGCAGAGAAGAAGGAAGAAGGGGGGGCGGGAAGAACGGAGAAATGGTTGAATTATTGAAGAGAAAAAACTGTGTGTGTGGCACAAGACTGCAGATTATTTCTTACAGCAGAAAAGAGAGAGAGAGAGCGTCAGCGTGAGGCACAGAAAGCTAGTTGAGGCACGGAATAGGCGGTTTGGTTATCTTCTGTTCGCTGTGCCAGGCATCTGCCGACAACGAATCGACGATGTCCCTTATTTTTTACTCTTCCAACAAAAGTCAGCAAAGCAATAGTAGTGGGGTAGGTAGTATTCGATCGTGAAAGGGAGGGGACAGTTGGATGCACGGTATTACGTATCACAGTGATAGGTTGTGCATGCATTTTAGGGGAATCCTTGGAGTTGAGAGAGAGATAGAGAGACAAAGGAGGAAGGATTCTGGGTCTGACCTTTTTCTTTCATTCGCCCTCATGAAACATGTTTCCAATCAACATCCCCAGGCAGGCTGAAGCCTCGAGTTTCAAGTTTTGTGTTTGTGTGTTCCCGTCCTGATAACAGACGTGGCATGATGAAGAGTAGTGAAGTGGACGAGAGAGAGGAGGGGCATTTGGAGGGTTTAGCGGGGTCTTTGCGGGGTTTGACGGGATCGCCAGGTAGTTTCCTCCACCGCCCCATGACGCTAATTACATGGGACCTTATCCCCGGGTCCTTCAGGACTGTTGTAGGACTTGAAGCTTCTTTCTCTCTCAATTATTGATTAAACCACAAATTATCTGACCACCTTTTAAGCGCACCCAATCTCATGAACACCCCTCCTGAGAGAATCACCGAATTCAGTCTGATAACTAATACCATCCCATCCAAACCAAGCAGCCGTCCCATTCTGCGGATAACAAACCGTCATCACACCCCCATCTGTATCCGGTTTATATCCCCACGAGATCTTGAACCCTTTGCACACTTTACCAAACCAGCTAATATCATTGTTTGATCCAGAAAGAGTCAATGAACAATGAGCCGTCAGACCATCACTATCCTTAATCTTGAAGCCAACTTTTGTAGTGTCGTCGCTGCTGTTCTGGACTGCCCGAGAAGTCAGTACATTCGTAACCCAAGGCGATATATTATTATATGATGGCGTAAAAACTCACCTCTAGACAATCCCAAAATCTGCCAAGTCTTTCCATTCCCCCCATCATCCTCATTCTCTTCCCTCGACCTCACCTTCCTTTTTCCCCTCCTGCTCCTAACCAAATACTCCTCCTTTTCCTTCCCACCCCCAGACCACTCTCCCTCTTCTTCCGTCCTCTTCTTCTTAGTAGTCAAAACTTTCCCATTCTTAGGCACAACCCCTTCTCTCTCACCATTACTCAACTCATCATCCGTATACCCAAAAAACGCATGCTCGCCCTTTTCAACATCAGTAATCACCAATGTCCAAAACTTTAGTTCAGAGTTATACCCCCCATTAATACTGAATCTGTCTGTGTGAAGACAAGAAACGGAATTAAAGTCTGTTTGGTTTGCTGGAAGGGAAGAAAAAGGATAGACGGGAAAGTAGCAGGTTGTATAATCGTCGAGGGAGTAAGGAGAGTTGTTATTGGGGTTTTGATCGAGGTTGAATAGGTAGAGACAGGAGGAGGCGTCGGGGGTGCAGGTGCGGGCTAGGTTGAGGAGGGTCCAGGTAGTTGGGATTGCGAGGGTTAGGAGAGGGAGGGAGCAGAGAAGAAAGAGGAGGAGATGGTGGTGATGGTGATGGAAGAGAATCATTGTGTTGGAACTGGTAATGAGTGAGTCTTGGATTCCTTTTTGTGATGCTGATGAGGAAAAAAAAAGAAAGGTTGAGACTTGGTCAGATATCGAACCCTACTTATACTGTGAGCTGGACAAAAAAATTATTCATGATTTGAACCTTATCCATGATTCATATTTTTTTCTCGTATCGAAAGGAAACGTTGAACGGGTGCAACCTGTAACCCGTCACGAGATAAAGCAAACACACTATAATGAGATTGATTTATATCTAGGATCCCATAACTTGGTGATATGTTGTGCGAGGTTGAAAAAAAAAGAGTACAAAGATGACCGGCTCGGCCGTGAGATCTTTTTCTTCTTTTCTGTCAAACGAGTAACCGACCCGTTGTCTCGGGTTGAGTTTGTTTTT